GAAGGGAAGGAGGGGGGGGAGCTGGGTCTGTCTGTTGGTGGGGTAGGGTTTTTTCCTTGGTTCTGTTTTTTCTTTTTTTAAAAAAAAAAATAAATAATTTTAATGATTTAACAAAAAATTAGATGAAATGTTGAGAATTAAACGGGGGGAAAAATGACCCAGAAAAAAGTTCATATCTTTAATTTTCTATAAAATAGAATAAGAGATAAATCTAAAGTTATATACAAGTTTAAAAGACAAATCAATAAACCCTGTTAAAAATGAGATCAGAACTTTTCTAAAAACCCGAACCGGCTATTGACCCGAGATTCATCTGCTGGTGCTCTTCTGCCAGTGCCACAGAGATTTATTAAGCTCAAAAAGCCATGGCTGATGAACCCGCCCCGGAACCCGGATCCTCAAGCTTCTCCTCCGCCGTCAACGGCGGCAAAACCCTGGAGGAATGCCAAGACATGATTCAACGAAGCCTCCGGAGTACTCTTCTACTTTCCTTTTCACCTTTTTATTTTCTGTTTTTAACAACTCATTTTCATACAAATCTAATTGGGATTAAGGTTTAGGGTTTAGAGGTTCACGGCATCTGGGGTTTCTCTTTGGTTTTCGTTTGTTTTCTTCCTAATTCTCTGACACCAAACACGTTGTTTTCTGCAACAGTTCCAATGGTGAAATTTCTGTTGAAGCATTTGGAGCAAGCCGGATGTGGGATTGGGGACAGGTTCATCAAGGCCGTTCATTGCGACAAGCAGATTGCTGGCGGTTATGCCCGCGGCGAAGGGGTACAACTATACAATTACGATTTCTCTTCATTTCTATTTGTTTAAGCGAAAGCTTTGATTTTTACAGATGTGAGAAACTTCATTTCGTAATTGAAAATTTAGCAAATGCAGTAGAATCTGTATAGTACTAGTTGCAGTGAGCATTGAATTTTAAAATTTTAAATCTTGGAAAGTATCTAAATTGCTAGATTGAGTAGCATGTCTTCTGGTCATGCAAGTATCTCTATCAATTGATTGGTCATTTGTGAAGCTCTTTTAATGGTCTGTTCTTTCCGCATAGTAAATATTTGCAGGAAGAGCTTGTTATGAAACTAATTTCTTTTTCTGTTCTGTATGTCTTCATGTGTACTAGATACTGGTATGTGGTAATCACATGAACATTCAAGATGAAGTCAACCAAGTGGTGATACATGAGCTAATTCATGCTTTTGACGATTGTCGTGCTGCAAACTTGAACTGGGCTAATTGTGCACATCATGCTTGCAGTGAGGTGTGCATCAATATATAGCAACTGAATATTTTTCTTGTATCAGGTGTAGTGTAATTCTTCATACCTCAATTTAATCTTTTACTTTTTAAACATTCACACTTTGTTTTTCTGGAACAGATTCGTGCTGGCCATCTAAGCGGTGATTGCCACTATAAACGGGAATTGCTGAGGGGTTTTGTAAAGATTCGAGGTCATGAACAAGTGAGTTATTCAGCTTTATTTACATAAGAACTTAAGATATACTCTTCGGGCTACATTCTTTGCATACAATGTGAGGTGCTCTCTTACCTTAAATTGATATGGAAAGACGAAAGACGAAAGCCGAAAGGCTTCAGTTGTATAGGAAAGGGGGATAGGGCCTTTTTCATATACTGCAAAGTTCTGTTTTATACTAGATCTGGAGTCTTTGCTTTTTTCTTTTTCTTTTTTATATATAATGTCCCACTTTCAAGTTTTAAACCAGGTTTTAAATGAATCCGAATCACGGTTTCAATTGGTTGAACTAGAGTGGGGAGGGGATGGATTTTTTCTCTCTTTCATATTTTCCTTGGACAAATATACGGTAGTTGATGTTCATTGCATTCCCATTTTGACATTTGAAGGATTGTGTGAGACGAAGAGTCATGAAATCAGTCATTGCTAATCCTTATTGCTCAGAAGCAGCTGCAAAGGATGCCATGGAAGCTGTTTGGGATGTTTGCTACAATGATACACAGCCCTTTGACAGAGCTCCATAAGTTACGGTGATAGGTACCAAACCAGCTGCCACTTCAAGTTTTTATTATTTGGCATTGTGGGAGCCTCTGGCCTGTGAAGAGAAACAGTGCCATTCCCTGATTTTTTGTTAGTTGCATAAGATATATTTCAATTTGAAGTTCATTTTATTCGAGAAATTTCCTCAAATTTTCTATTTAAGATGAATGTATGAGGAAAAACCTTTCTTTTTCAGATGTCATACCAATTGTACACCAATGACTAATGTTGTTTTTTGTGTTTACATTCCAAAATAATAAGATTTTCTGTCGTTTGTTTTACCTTCAATTTGATGAATTATTTATTGGTTGGATAATCAACTGGCATGATGGCCATTGGAGTGTGCATAGGTGCATAGACTTTTTTTTTTTTTTTTTTGCAGAAACTGATTTCATCCATCCTGCTCTTCAACAATTTGCTAAAGAACTCAGCCAGTCAATTTCAAATAAACAAATCAGCAATGATGTATGGGCAAGCAACCTGATCCCGATGATCTTAGAAGACAGCTTCAAGCAGAAAAATACAAAGATGTTTTCATTAAAAATGATCACTACTGTTTTGCAACACTTCGTTAATCATTTTTTTGGCTCCTTCAACATTTTGTGTTTTCCATGTGTGAGGTAGGTCAACAAAACGACCATCATGTTTATTGGTGTTACTACTAACTAGATGAGCCCGGGTCTTCAATCAGATCCCATAATGTTAAAGGCTATTACTGATTTACAAACTTCAGGATCATAGACCACGTGGTGATGATCACAAGGATATCCTTTTTTCTTTTCGTGAATTTTGATTCTAATGACTTTTAGCGCCAGCAGCAGCCTTGGCGGGCTTCTTGGGGCCGGAGGATGGACCAGAGGGAGAGGGTGAAGCCTTGGGGGGTGGAGTGGTGGGCTTCTTGGGGCCGGAGGATGGACCAGAGGCAGAGGGTGAAGCCTTGGGGGGTTGAGTGGTGGGCTTCTTGGGGCCGGAGGAAGTTGGTGAACTGGCTGGTGCGGCTTTGGGTGATGGTGATGGTGCAGTCTTAGGTGAGGCAGATGGGGAGGAAGCCGAAGACTTGGGGGATGATGCTGGTGCGGAGGATGTGGACTTAGCCTTATCTGAGGAGGCTGGACCTTTGGCTGGTGATGATGATGGCGACTTAGATTTGGCTGATGGCGCTGGTGCATTGGCTGGTGCCTTTGCAGCAACCCCAGAAATAATGGCAACAAAGATGAGAGTAAGGACGATCACTTGATTTGCCATCTTGTGTTTGTTTTGTGATGTTTATTTTTGATAGGTAGGTTTAGTGTTAGATATAAGTAAAAGGGGGAAGCAAGAGGAGTGTGTGTGTGGAAGAAGGTGGTGAAGGAATGGATATTTATAAAGGCTTGGGGAGGGGAATGAGTGGGAGGGAGATAAAGTAGGAAAATTGTGTG